AAAGAAGGTTAAGTACTGACTGAAATGTTATCATTATTGTAGTGATTATGGTTTTCAACAAAGTCAGAATGTTCAATAGCAAGCACAAAATCGTCCATTATAGCTGGAAAGCTCTCAAAGGTAAAATGGAGACCCTGGGAGATGCACCCCACTTCCTGCTAACGTCTCCCACCTCCTCACACCCACAGTGACTAGCACACTCGGCCTCCTCAGAATCCTGAAGGTCACCAGCTCCCTCCAGCACTGCAGCACCTGCACACGGCCCCCCACACTGCCTCAGGCCCACTCCACTCTTCCCAGAATTCTCCACCTTCCACACCCATTGCTTGGGTGGGCGAAGCCATGTTTTATGGAGTGAGGCATTTTGAAAGATTCCCTGATATGACAACACCCCCAGCAATGTGGCTATGCTGGGAGGGGGGTGATGGCAGAAAAGATGGTACAATGGTGGTGGCTGCTGCTGAGGCAGCTACGCCAGGCTGTGCAATGGCTGCTGTGGCAATGGGTGGCCAGGAGGTGGCAGCTGAAGTGAACCCAGGAGGTGGCAGCAGCTGAGGCAGCTGCTCTTTGCCACAGAGATTCCTCTCCACCAGCGCCCACTCTGCCTGTGTGCTTGGCCAGCAGGAAGTGGCAGGGAGGAACAACAGCCCCCAGATAGCCCTAGACAACATGGCTGGTGGAGGTTGGTGCGTGAGTACCCTCACGCCTTCCTGGAGAATCAGTCTCTCTACTGCTTCCCAGAGTCCCCCAGAGAACTGTCACCCACGGTGGTCATCTGCTCGATGATGAGGTCCTTAGGTGCTGCGTCCCCGTCCCTGTCTCACTTCCCACTGCCCTGCCAGTGCTGTCTGGGATCACCTCCCCAATCCCTGTCTCAGAATCTCAAGCTACAACAGTGCATCCTGAGCTGAGGACTGTGACTCAGGCACATATGGCACATTAGCAAAAGCTGAACACATGCCAAGAGCCTCGAGGCCTCAACAAATGTCAGAAGAGGGAAATCATATAAAATGTGTTCCCAAACCAATTGCAAGTAGGCAAGAGAGCTAGAAAAATCTCCATGTTTAGAAATTAAGAAATACAAGTCTAAACTTCTAAACAATCTGATATCAATGAAGAAATCAAAATAGAAAGCTGTACTTTGTCAGTAATTTAGTGCATATATTAGAAAAGAGAAAGCCTGAAAACCAGTAAGCTAAACATTCATTTCAATATGCAGGAAAAAGCCAGGTGTGGTAACACACAGCTGAAATCCCAGCAACTCCAGAGGCTGAAGCAGGAGGACTGCAAATTCAAGACCAGTTTCAGCAATTCAGTGAGGCCTTGTCTCAAAATAAAAATAAAAAGGGCTGGGAATGCAGCTCAGTGGTAAAGTGCTCCTGGGTTCAATCCCCAGGACCAAAAAAGGAAAAAGAAAACTAAAAGCAAGGAAAGAAGAAGAAAAGAAAATTGATTCAATTAAAAACAAATATACAGCTGGGTATAATGATGCATGCCTGTAATCCCAGCAACCCTAGAGGCCAAGGCAGGAGGATCTCCAAGTTCAAGGCCAGCCTGGGTAACTTAGTGAGATTGTTTCAAAATAAAAAAATAAAAAGGACTGGGGATGTAGCTGAGACATACTGAAAAGTCAATCTTTTCAAATAAATCCTATAAAAGATCACTGGTAAACTCCTGTCCAGACTGACCAAGAAAAGAAAAAGATACAAATAACCAGAGTCAGGAAGAAAATGGGGCTGGGCATGGAGGCGCACGCCTGTGTGCTCAGGAGGCTGAGGCAGGAGGGTCGCAAGTTTAAAGCCAACCTTGGCAACCGTGAGGTGTTAAGCAACTCATCTCTAAAAAAAATACAAAATAGGGCTGGGGATGTGGCTCAGTGGTTGAATGTCCCTGAGTTCAATCCCTGGTACCAAAAGAGAGAGGGGGCGGGGGAAGAAAGAAGCAGGCAATGTAAGAAATTCCTAGAAAAGTATAACTTACCAAAATAACCACAAAAATAGAAACTGAAATTTGTATGCTTGTTTAAACATGGGCACAAACTCTACACACAGATGCCATCAGGAGTGGCCTCACAACTGCTTTGACCAAGAGTATGGTAAAAATGGTATCTTTGAGGCGCCCAGGCCGGCCAGTATCATGGGTGGCCTCTTCATGTGTGCAGAGCTTAAGGTGCGACTGTGCAGGCTGCATGCTCCCCCCAGCCCCAGCTCCAGTGGGCCCTCCTGAACCCAGGAGCGCACCCTGGTTACAGTGAAGCCAGATGGGCACAGTGGCTGCTCATCGGAGCTGTGATCCAGCACCTTGAGAGGCGGGGCTTCAAGCTGGTTGTCACAAGACACTGCAGGCCCTGAGAGTCCTTGCTGAACGCTACCAGGACCTATAGAGGAAGCCCTTTCACCCAGCCCTCATCAGCAACATGAGCTCTCGACCCAAGGTGGCCATGGTCTGGAAGGGTACAATGTGGTCCGGACCTCAAGGGCCATGACAGGCACAGTGATTCCACCAAGGCTGCTCCTGGGACCCTCCGGGGAGACTGCAGCATTCTCGTCAGCAGAAACATCATTCACGCCAGTGACCCAGTGGAAGGGGCCCAGAGGGATCCAGCTGTGGTTCCAGAGCAGCGAGCTGGTGAACTGGGCAGATGGGGGCCATTACAGCAGCAGCTGCCCAGCTGAGGGCTTGTGCTGCCCTCAGTGCCCAGCAACCACCAGGACCAACTACTTTGGTCAACAACTCAAGCCACACCCATCCTGCCTCCCCCAAAACACTTTTTTGTTCACTTTCTGCCCCAACCCAACTCAAGGGAGTTTGAGGCCCAACTTTATATGCCTTTCTGAATCCTAAGTTAGCATAAGACTGGACCAAATCCTTCTGGAACAAAGTGCCAGACAACCTCTGGGCATCTTCAGAGTGACACATTAAAATCCACTGCTATTTTGGGAAAAAAAAAAAAAAAAAAAAAAAAAGAACATGTGATGTCTTTGAGGTTTCCATTTCACTCTTTTGGACCTGGGAGACCACCATACAAGGAGGTTGGCCCAGCTTACTGAAAGAGAGGCCAAATGGAAGAGATGTTCTGAAAGGTAGCCTTGATCTCCATTTTGTTTGTTCTCATCACATTTCTTTTAGGTTGTGTGAAGCAAACCCCACTGAAGTTCATTCAAGCAAGTTGGGCTGAAAACATCCACAGAAATTTGAGGCCTCAGGCCATGGCCTGGGGAAATCAGAGCTGGGAGAGAGGCACCAGTACTTAGGTAGTACTTCAGGACCCCAGGGACTGATCACTCTCCAGGTACTGGGTCTCCTACTCAGCAACAGGCATCCTATGGTTCCTGCAACCTTGACTGTGCAAGACTTCCACCCTGGCTCCTAAGCCAAGGAATAGGTTCCCTTGTCTTGGAGATTAACCCTCAAGGGCCAGGCTCACTTTTCTAAACCAGAGCACAAGTCTTAGATTTCAAACGGCCAATTATTCCAATTCCAGAGGTCTAAGTCTGTTCCAGGGAGCAGCAACTTGTCTGAAAAGCAAAACTTGGCTGAGGCCATGGCACTGTTAAACCCAAACTCTGGAGACCAAAGGATCTCTGAAATAAAAGGGTTTACTAAGTCATTAAGATGCTATCCAGTAAAAGAAAGCATCAGGTCCTGGGACATTTTCCCCAGTGGTCAGCTGCAGGGCTAGTTAGCAGGTGAAAACATCTACAGAGCAAGAGCTAAGAGCATTTTTCATAAATGTTGGGGAAAGGAAGACACTGTGACCCATATCGCCATAGTTAAAAAAAGCAGGACAACACAGAGATGTGGGCAGCAGCTCTGTGATAGCAGGGCAGTCCGTAAGAAGTCACTGTTACTTCTGGGTTGTTTGATGTCAAGGGTCTAGAAAGTTCATACGTAAACAGTTACCAGTGGGTGGTCTGCCAACATGCGATGGCATTTAAGGTTCTAATATACATTCAAGAATGTAACCGATCATTTGCTCTTTTCAGCTTGTAACTGAATGAGTTCCCTCTGTCCTCTGGTCCTTTGTAATTAACACTGGGGACATTCGGAATGTCTCTCTTGTGGGCATGCTCAGCTCAGCGCTCGGCCAGTGCTCTGTGCTCTCTTCCTGCACCCTTCCCTCCTGCTCTCAACCTGCCCCCACTCAGAGGCTGTGCTCAGGCACTAGGAAGCTGGTACCTGCCAGAGCCACTCAGCATCTCATCTGATCTCTCACCCTCTGCCACAATCTTCTGATGGCAGGAGCACACCTGGTCTTCACAGAACAAAGCAGAAGTGCCAGAGGGTTATCATCGCCCATGAAAACAGTCCTGGAGGAGAATGGGAAGGGAGAACCCTGAACTGAAACAGATTTCCGTGCAGGCATGTTTGTCGGGAGGAACCAGCTACCACTGCATGACTATGAAGCTCTAATAGTTGAACAGCCCTGTGGGGCAGATGGGGAGTTGGTGGGTAACTGAGGTAAGTTCTATGCAGTCCCTCAGATGCCCCCAGTGGAAGAGCCGATTTCCCAGAGATAACTATCCTGATAATGCACTTGGTGCATCATCCACTCCCTACCAGTTTCTGGATTCAAATTGCAAGTACATGATCTGCACTTGTTCTCACACTGGGCAAACCAAGGCAGAAGTCCAGTACCACGGCCTTCTAGGCCACATCCTTCCAGGCAGCTGTTCAACAGTAAGGCCAGCATTTCGTCTCCTTCTCCCCAAACCTGTGTCTACTGCTCACTTGGTTCTAAATTCAGCAAAGGAGGTGGAGTGGTATTTACTGCCCACCAAGCAAGCTTCTAGAAAACACAATAAATATTTGGTGAGTGCTAGAGTGGAGGGAGAAAGGGGCTCTCCTCACAGGCATGCAGCAGGCAACAGGAAGGAGCACCTTCTCCTTCCTGGCTCTTCCTAGTCAGACCACATGACGTTGGGGGATGTACAACCAGGGTTTCTGCCCAGCCATCGCTCAACGTCCCCACACCCCCAGGTGCTAAAGGCAGCAACCAGGTCATTGCACAGTCTTTATTTATTGAAGTCCTGATGTCCAGGAAGCCAGGTCTGCAGCCAGGGCCCTCAAGACTCCAAATGGCCACTTTGCAGGGGGTAGGGATATCAAGGGGCTAGTCACTCATATCCAGTTCTCCTGCAGTCAACCAGGTTCTCAGGAGGCAGGAAGCGGCTGTGCCTGTGGAGAGAACACCAGCATCTGTTGGGACCTCCTCTGGGCCTGGGCTGGGGCCCACTGCTAGGGAGACTCTCTAGACACAGCAGAGGCTGCCTGTACCATCCCAGGCTGGAGGAAAAGGGTGCCAGGCCATGACCTTAGTCACTTGCCACCAAGAACAAGTCGGCCCTGGTATGGAGTCATAAGGAAAGTACCATTTGGCTGTATTTGGGGCATTTTTTGGTCCTGGGGACCCAGCAGGCAGAAATCTCTGATTCTGGGAGCTTCTATTCGAGTAGGAAGGGACAAAGAGCAAATGAACAAAACTATGTCAATTGGTGAGTAATTCTTTGTGTGTAGACTAGCGAACAAAGGAGGCCTGAATCTTACTGCCCCCAACTAGGGAGGAAGAGCTGGAAGGGGGAGGACAGTGGGAAAGAACTGGGTATTAATTACAGAGTGGAGAACCATAAAGTTTTTCTGTTGTTGTTTTGGGCACTGGGGATCAAATTCAGGAGCACTTAACCCACTAAGCCACACCTCCAGCCCTTCTTTATTTTTTACTTTGAGACAGGGTCTCATTAAGTTGCTTAGATCCTCGCTAACTTGCTGAGGCTGGCTTTCAACTTGCGATCCTCCTGCCTCAGCCTCCCAAGAAGGTGGGATTATAGGCATGTGCTACCACACCTGGCTGGGGAGCCATAAAGTTTTAAAGAAGAGACATGTGATCTAATTTTCATTTTTACACGTTCTTCTGGCTACCAGAGAAGAGAGACTATGAGGTCAGGAATGGCCACAGGGAGAGGTTGGGTGCCTGTCCAGGAAGGGAAGGAGCAACTGACCTTAAAATGGGAGAAAGAGGTCTTTCCAATTCAATGCCCAAAACATTTGGAAGAAAGAAATGCTCCTAATAACAATGACTTGAGAAACCATGTGGAAAGTATATTGTCATTACAAAACATTTTCTGGGGAAATCAAAAGTCCTTCCAGTTGGTTTCTACTCCTGGGATCTGAGAGGTTCACTTATTCCTACTCTACAGAAAGAATCAATGACTACCATTCGGATTCAAAGGGCATCTTCTTAGCATTTAGTCAAGAACTCCCTGAAGCAGGAGATACAAGGACAGCTTTAGGGTGTGATCTATGATAGAGGAGGCCCATGGACCTTGAGCCTGGGCACAAGCATGAGGCATCAGAGGAGGTTCTCTAAAAGAAGTATCATATAAGCTTGAATAAGAATTTGCCAGTAGATGAGTTAAGAAGGGCAATCTGAAAGCAGAGGGAACCAGCTGGACAAAAGCATGAGACACATGCATTTAAGTAACTGCATGTTCACTTGAGGAGAAAAGTGGGGAGAGATAGGGATCAGAGGTCATATGGGCTCCAGGTTGTGGTTGAATTGAGAGCTGTCCTGCTGGAAATAAAATCCACGGAAAGATTACTAAGTAGAAGCAGAACATGGTCTGATTTCCTCTGAGATCATTCTGAGGCCATCACAGAGAAAGAACTAAAAAGGTTCAGATGAGGCCCAGAAGGTGGTCTGGTGGTACAGAGAGAAGGTTGGGCTGCAGGGACCAAGAGAAGGCACAGGAGTGAGTGTTCAGAGGAGGCCATTGAAAGATGGGTCTTTTCCTTTTGGAGCTCACAGAACAGTGGGAGAATCAGTAAAGACGACAGAAGTATTTCTCATTCTTTTTTCCTACTACTACCATACAAGGACCTTTTTAGACATTTTTCTAAATGCCCCATCAATAAAATTTTAATCTCTCAGATATGCTGTGTATCTATTTATGTACTGAATGCATAAAAGAAAGTTAAGACATTTTTACCCACTTCACACCCTCTGCCGTACAGCTGAGGAACAGGGAAGGAAGAATGAGGGAGGGAGGAGGCAGGGAAGCTAGCAAGGACCTGGGACTTTGTTCCCATTGTGAATGGGAAGCTACTGCAGTTTAAGCACAAGTGCAATGTGACTAGATTCCAGGCCACTGTGTGGAGGCACAAGAGATGAGACTCAGGGAAACAAAGGAGATGGCAGGAATGGGTACCCTGGCAAAGAAGGGGTGGGAAGGTGGTTGGACTAAAGTAGGGGTTGGAGGGGGGCAGGAGGTGACCCCGTTCTGGATTCTGGATGCCTAGGGAAGGCAAATGTGGGAGTTGGGTGGACTGAGGACTTGACTCTTCACCTTGAACAACTAAAAAGATGAGGGTGTAGATGATGATTAACAAGCCTCCTTTACCTCTACAGCTGTGGGCGTGTGTGGTGGCTGCACCTGCTCAGCACACTGCAGGAAGCGGCGCACGTGTTCCGCACAATTGCCGACAGCTGCCTCATTCTGCCGAAGACACTCTTCGAAGGCCTCAAAAGGCTCAGCACAGGCCTGGCGGATCTGGCGGATGATTGGGCTGGGGGAGGCAGGGCGTTTCAGATTCCAGAACATTCCTCCTCTGCTCCCCACCCACCCAGCCCCCAGTGCCACATACTTGCCCACACTCACTGGGAGGATGTGCACCGAGCAATGCTCATCTTAAGGTGGTGGCAGTCTCGCTGCCATGACTCAGGCTTGGCTGCCACACACTGGCCATACTGCTCCAGCTCCCGGCCACAGTAGCGAGCAGTGACCTCCAGGGCCGCCTGCCTGTGGGACAGGGTAGGCTGATGATAATTTCAGACAGCAAGCAAGAAAGGGAATTCTGATCTGGTTCTGGGGGAAGACTAGGGATCCTGGACAGATGTGGGGATCTTAAGGCTTCTGGGATGGGGAAAGGAAAGGGCAGAGGTGAGGCGAGAGCTCTGGGGGTTGGGGACACAGTGAGAACTTCTGGGAAGATAGTGTAAGTCCTAAAACAAAGTCTGGTTATACTGCACCAGGCCTTTGGCATCTTGGAAAGAAGGATTTTGGAGTTCAGGAGGTCCCCAGTAGGACTGGGGATCATGTAGAGAAGGCTTGGGCCTCAGAAGTGCGATCCAGAGTTGTAGGGGGAGAGCTTAGGAGACTTAAATGGGTTTGAAGGTCCAGGACGTTGGGTCTCAGGTCCTAGGGAAAGGTCTCTTGGTCAGAAAGTTTCAGGGATGAGACCCGGGCCCTGTGGTGGGTTGGGGGTGCTGGGATGGAGTTCAGGGTCCTAGGCATGCCCTGGAAGCCCTGGTGAGTTGGAGGCTCTGGGTAGATCGAGTACTACGCCAGAGATGCTCGGAGTTGCGGGGACACAGTCTGGGAATGCAGGGAACAAGTCTGGGCCCCACACAGGTCTGGGGTCCTGGGCAGAGCGGAGAGCTCAAAAGCTGAGGTCTGGGGCCCAGGGAGAGGGCTCCAAAAGCCTCGGGGCCTGGCGCCAGGACCCAGCAGCCCGCGTCCAGTACGAAGAAACCGCGCGGGACCTGAACGCCGGGGGCGGGACCTGGCACGCGGGGCGGGGCTTGCGAAGGCGCCGGGCCCCGAGGCCGTTCTCCAAAGAGCAGGGGCGGCCAGTCCTTCTTCCTGAGGTCCTGAGCTAGGTCCAGGTCACTGGGAAGAGAAGGGTAGCGGCAGCAAACTCGGGGCAGGCTTCCCCGCTACTCACATCTCGAGGCAGGTGCCGGCGTGGGATCAGTCAGGACGGAGCGCCCCGCCCCTTCCGGTGCCTGGTTGTCATGGCGGCGCCCTGCCTACCTCTCTCAGCCTCGCTTTTCCGGTCGCAGAGAGGACGAGCAGCTCGTTCCGTTTAGTCTCGACCCGTCATGGCGGCGCCCGACCTTTCCTTCCGGCCCCAGCCTGTCATGGCGGCGCCCGATGCATCCGCTTCCGGTCCAGCAGGCGGTAAGACTTCGTCCTTCTTTACTTCCGGCCCGCCATGGCTGCGCCAGGGTTCGCCGGAAGTAGCCGGCCAGGAGTCCTGCGGGACCTTGGTCTCAAGCGAGAGCGGAATCTGGTGTGGCTGAGCGGCGGCCTCGCACGCTCCACCTCTCCTGACTGGGGCTAGTGGCGAGCGGCGGCTGCTTGGCGGTCCCTCCACAAGCTGCGTTTCGCGGTCGATTGGGCGCCATGGCCGCCACCTGCGGGGTTCGGGAATTCTGAGCCGCCACCTTGGCCTGGACATGTGCTCGCTGTCCTCTAGCGCACTCTGTGCGCGTGCTGCGACCTGGGGGAGGGCGGTCACCGCCAGGGCCCGGCCCGGCCGCCCCAACTGCTCAGCCTAGGTGCCCACGCAGTCCTCCCCTAGCCCTGGGCGGAGGCTCTTGGGGGGACGTGTGGACGTCTAGCCTGGTTTC